AAAAAAAAAAAAAAAAAAAAAACTAAAGCCAAGCCAGGGGCAGTAGTGTCCACACCTGTAATCCTAGCACCAGAGGGGCTGAGGCAGGAGGATCATGTGTTCTAGTAAACACTAGAAATGATGACGTAACTCAGTTGGTAGAAGTTGAGCATACATTGAGTCCTGGGTTTGGTCTCCAGCACCACATAACACAAGTGATGGTGGAGGCCACCATCTCAGCACTCAGGAGGTGGAGGCAGGAGGATCAGGAGTTCAAGGTTATCTATCCTCAGCCACACTGTACATTTGAGAACAGCAATGGCTACAAGAGACACTGTCTGAATAAATTGGTCCGTGTTATGGACAGAGAATCCGAAAACTAGCAAGAATGCAAAGTGGAGCTAGGGAGAAGGCTCGGCCAGTAAAGGCACTTGTTGCCAAGCCTAATGACCCAGGTTCGATCCCTGCAAACCACACAGTTTAAGCAGAGAACCAAATCCTGCAAATTGTCCACTGACTTCCACAAATACATCATGCATGGCACTCAAGCCCACACATACAAAATAAATTTTAAAATATAATAAAATTGTAAATCCAGGTGTGGTAGTTGCACACCTTTAATCCCAGCACTGGCAAGACAGAGAAGCAAGTGGATCTCTGCGAATTCAAGATGAGTCTGGGGTACATAATGCTTTCCAGGACAGCCAGGACTGCATAGTGAGACACAGTCTCAAAAAATTAATTAAAAAAGAAAACAACAGGGCTGGAGAGATGGCTCAGTGGTTAACAGTATTGACTGCTCTTTCAGAGGATCTGGGTTCAATTCCCAGCACCCACATGGCAGCTCACAACTATGTGTAACTCCAGTTCCAGGGGACCTGAGATCCTCATGCAGATATACAAGCAGGCAAAATACCAATGCAGATAAAATAAAAATAGAAAAAAGGAAAAAAAAAAGAACACAAAACTCCATAACCCTGAGCTCTCAGAGCTGCAGAGTGCTCCACCCGAGTGCATGGGGAGGAGTGATGGGGAGGAGTCACCAAAGCAACACGATGACCAGCCAGAAATCATTATGAATTGAATTGAAAAGGTGTGGAGTCATTCAACGCTCTTGGACCGCAATGAAGCCAGGCCTGAATAACAAAGATTTCTGGAAAATCGCCAGATATCGCAAAAATTGAACAAAGAAAAATGCCTAATGGGTGAAACAGAGATTAAGTCTCCAGAGAGATGGAAAAGCATCCTGAGCTGAGTAAAACAAGACAGAAGAAAGCCCCAGCACCAAAATGTGTAGAATATTTCCAAAACAGGAAAATGTGTTTCCTTTCAAAAAGAACTAAAGTGCTATTTTGACATTTCACCTTAAGAAGCCTTGAAAAGGATACAGCCCAATACAACAGAAAGAAGGAAATCATAAAAATAAGAGCAACAATATTAAATAGAAAAAAGGGATGTGGAGATGGGATGAAACTAGCATGCACTTCCTTGAAAAGCCCACTCAAGGAGCCAGAGCAGTGACTGGCTGCCCTTGCATCCATCCAGTTCCCAGCAGCCACGTGGCAGCTCACAACCATCTGTAACTCCAGCTCCAGGGGATCCAATGCCCTCTTCTGGCCTCCAAGAGCACTTGGCACGCATGTGGTGCACAGACATATAGGCAGGCAAAACACTTGTACACATAAAATAAACTTTAAAAGGAAAAAACTCATTAGAACTGATCATCTTCTAGACAAGCTGATTAATAACAACAAAAAGGCACTAATTATCCATATCAAGAATTAAATATGGGGAGGCGTGTGGAGAGATGCTCAGATGGCCTCCCTCACTGCTCTTCAGGAGGACTGGAATTTAGTTCCCAACACCCACATCAGGTGGCTCACAACTGCCTTTAACTTTATAGCACCAGGGCATTTGACACCCTCCTCTGGCCCCTATAGACACCGACACCCATATGCATACACACCCACAAACATACACAATACACATAAATAAAAATAAATAAGTGAAAATTATTTTTTTTATAGTGAATGCAATTTGAGGCCAGCAAGATGGCTCACTGGGTAAAGGCACTTGGTGCCTGGTAAACCCAAGTGCTAGCCCATAACCTACACAGCTGCTTGGTTTTAACTACTGACTTGACATAGCTTAGAATCACCTGGGGGGGAAAGTCTCAATGAGGAATTGTCCTGATCAGGTTGGCCTGTGGGTGTGTCAGTGAAGAACTGTCTTGATTTCCCCAATTTAGGCAGGGAAAGACACACCCACTGTGGGTGGTACCATTCCCTCAGTTTAGGTCAGTGGTTCTCAACCTTCCTAATGCCGTGGCCCTTTAATACAGTTCCTCATGCTGTGGTGACCCCCAACCATAGAATTATCTTCATTGCTTCTTCATAACTGTCGTTTCGCTACTGTTATGAATAGTAATGTAAATACCTGTTTTCCCATTGTCTTAGGTGACCCCTGTGAAAGAGTCATTCAGCTCTTCCCTAACGGGTCCCCATGGGTTGGGAACTGCTGGTTTAGATCAATAGAGAAGCCAGGCGGCCTGATGGCACAAGCCTTGAATCCTAGTACTTAGCAGGCAGAGGAAAGAGATGTCTGCAAGTTCAGTCTGGTCTACAGTGGAGTTCCAGGCCAGCCAGGACTATATAGCAAGAACCTGTAGCCCCATAAAAACCCAAAAAGAGTAAAGAAAGCTAGCTGAGCATTAAACGTGCATGCATTCACTTTCTCTCTGCTCTTGGATGTGATATGATTAGCTGCCCCTCCACATCTGCATAGGCACGCGCGCGCGCGCACACACACACTCACACTCACAGAATACTGAGCAATCACAGACTGAGCAATCATTGGAAGGGATGTCCCCACAGAACAGATGACAAGTAGAAAAACACACAAAATATAAAACTGCCACTGCCACATGGCCACACACATCTAAAGACTGTTTTTAAATAGCACAAGAGAGAATGGGCATGGGGAGGGCGTGGGCGTGGCTCCATGGGTAAGACGTTAGCTTTGAAAGCACTGGATTCTGAGTTTGAATCCCTACCACCCACATAAAAAGCTGGGTGTTGCTGGATATGGAGGTTCACAACTTTAAACCCAGAACTCAGAGGGCAGAGGCAGGTGGATCTCTGAGTTCAAGACCAACCTGGTCTACAGATCAAGTGCCAGGACAGCCAAGGCTACACAGAGAAACCAGATCTTCAAAAACCTCCACACACAAATACAAATTAATTAAATAATTTAAAATATATTTTAAAGTGTTTGAGGAGTTGGCTCCGTGGTTAAGAGCACTTACTGCTTTTACAGAGGACCACAGTTCTGTTCCCAACTCCCAGGTTGGGTGGCTCACAACACCTGAAACTCCAATCCTGGGAGATTCAGTGCCCTCTTCTGGCCTCCAAGGCCACCTTCATTTATGTGGCATACACATGCAGACATATACATAGTTAACAATAGCAAAAGAAATAAATCTTTAGTCTGGTGAAGGGGCTGTCTGTAGACGCCATGTTGGGCCACGAAGGTGGCAAAAAGAAGCCCCTGAAACAGCCCAAGAAGCAGGCCAAGGAGATGGACGAGGAAGATAAGGCTTTCAAACAGAAACAGAAGGAGGAGCAGAAGAAACTCGAGGAGCTAAAAGCCAAGGCCGCGGGCAGGGAACCCCTGGCCACAGGTGGAATTAAGAAATCTGGCAAAAAGTAAGCTGCTCCTCATATCTGAGATGACGGTGAGCCTCTTCCATTCCTATTTAAACATCTGGATTCCCTGCCATAACATCTTTACCACCTACAGCTAGGGTGAAGTGTTACCCTGGAGCCTGTTAAACATCTGGATTCCCTACTATAACATCTTTGCCACCTACAGTTAGAATGAAGTGTTATCCCGGAGCCTGTTGTACATTGTAATAAACTTTTGTAAAATAATAATAATAATAATAATAATAATAATAATACAATGGCTCATTGTCTCTAGTGTTCAGCAATTCCTACCTCAGCTGTGAATTTAAAGTAAACTCAGTCCGAAATCCTACCAGAGCTGTTTCATCTCTGTTGTACTCTGAATTCTGTATCACTTTGAATTAATTAAACCAACTCATTAAAGGCAAAAAAAAAGAAAAAGAAAAAGAAAGAAATCTTTAAAAAAAAAAAAACATTTTTGGTAGGTTATGTTCATTTACCAAGTGCTATTGACTAGTTTTTTTCAGAAATGGGAGCAGAGCCGAGGCTTTTCACAGCTATCTACCAGGGAACCACTGGGCTCTGCCCCTGAGTCCCCCTCCATTCATGATGGATGGACTGTCTTAAACAGAAGAACAAGGTTCATTCTTTGGAGCCAGGCATGGTAGTGCATATCTGTAGTCCCAGCACTCAAGACCTACAGCAGGAGGATCATAAACTTGAGACCAACCTCAGCTACATAGAAAGACCCTGTTTCCAAGAAATGCACAACATGGACTTGAGATAGTTCAGCAGTTGAGAGTGCTGAGTTTCATTCCCAGCACCCACATCTAGAGACTTACAACTGTTCATAACTGATGCCCTCTCCTAACCTCCATGGGCACCATGTATGCCCGTGGTACACAGACAGGCACACAAGCAAAATACTCATGTGCATAAAATGAATAAACCTAAAAAAATTAAAAATACATAATAATCAATAGTAGCAGTAGTTGCTTTGGGTCAGAGCTAGATGATTACAGGAGGCGCCCATGAGAAGTGTTTAACACCACATAGCTCACAAGCGTTCAAAAGCAAGCCTCAGCTTATACAAGGCTCCTCACATTCTCATCTGGTCTCCAAGACACTGGGACAAGGGATGGTTAAATGACCTCAGCAATACTCTGGGTGGAGAGATACAATAAGGAAAGATGGAGCCACTGCCTGGGAGGGAAACAGGATATAGCAATGGACTCATGCCAAGACTCCTGCTGGTCAGCCACCCTAGCCTGAGGAAGAACCCAGAAAAGGAGCTGGGGAACATTGAGAGGTACCATTCACAGAGGAGCCAGTCATGAGGGCCTCTGTCCTCAGAACAGTAGGGCTAGAGAGGTGATGTAACATGTGCTTATAACCCTTGCACTCTACTGAGGCAGGATTGTAAGTTTGAGGCCAGCCTGAGATACCTAGTATTACCTACCACAGAGAAAGAGAGAGGGAGAGAGGGAGGGACGGAGGGAAGAAGGGAGAGAAATATGCTTCTCCCATCAAGCATGTCTGGAGGTATATTCCTCCATCCATACTGCCAATCAGGCATGCAGATCAACATGGACCTGGATGCAGGCATGCAGATCAACATTACACACACCCACATCACCTGCATGATCAAAGCTACTTATCTTTAATTTATTTTTATATAGTGTGTGGCTATGTGTATGCCTGTGTGTGTTCATGTATGCACACAGGTGAAATGTGTGTGCCTGGTGCCTGTGAGGCCAAAAGGGCACTGGATATCAGGGGAGTGAAGTTACAGATGGCTATAAACCATCATGTGGGTGCTGGGAATCGAACCAGGGTCTTATGGAAGAGCAACTGGCGCTCTTAACTGTTGAGCCAACTCTTCATTCCCTCGCTGGGATCTAGGGGCTTGAAGATCAGGCTAGGCTGGTTGATCACCAGGCCTCAAAATGGTTATACCTCAGCCAGGCAAAGTGGTATAGGCCTGTAATCCCAGCACAGAAGAAAATGAGGCAGGAGAATTGCTGCATATACATATATATATATAGAGAGAGAGAGAGACAATTTTGGACTACAATGTGAGAGCTTCTCAAGGCATGCACACATAACCAGACCTCATCCCCATCTGCCTAGCCTGAAAACTGCCAGTGAACTCCATGGCCACTAACTAGGCTCAGATTCATAACTCCTGAACCATCATCCACAAGAGTTCTTGAGATTGTGAACCTCAAAGAAATAGAAGGAGGGATTCTGGGGCTCAAAGATGAACCCAAGGCCTAACAAAAACAGGCCAGTCTCAGGTCAACTGTATTACTGGGGATGGAGCCCAGGGCCTCATGAATGGGGGGCAAGCGCTCTAACACTGAGCCACACCCCAGCCCCTCACTGGGGGATTCTAGGCAGGTGCTCTACCACTGACCACACCCCAGCCCCTCACTGGGGGATTCTAGGCAGGTGCTCTACCACTGTGCCACACCCCAGCCCCTCACTGGGGGATTCTAGGCAGGTGCTCTACCACTGACTGATGTCCCTATCCCCTAACTGAGGGATTCTAAGCAAGCTTTCTACCATGGAGCCTCATCCCCTGCCCTGCTGCTTCCCATGGTCTTGACAAATCCTGAGACAGGGGGACATCGCTCTCTTGGAATTCCAAGGGAGAACCTGAAGCAGCTTTGCCCGGGGAACCTACCAAGGGTACTGAGGACACTGACCTTCTCCATCTTCTCGAAGTACTCCCGAAGGAACCGCAGTGGCCGGTCCGGCTTGGCAACACAGAGGTGCACGATGCATTCTTTGAGCACCTGCTGGATGCCATGCTTCTGCACGTACATCTCACATCCCTTCAGGGAGTCCTCGTCCTCCGAATGGAAGTATGATGGGGAGGCCATGGTCAGAATTTCTTTTACAGTCCTGTCAAGGAAAAAGTAAAATCAGCTTCTGGGGAAGCCAGACTGTTCTGCTGTTGTGCTTTATCAAGCACACGTGGGCTGGACCTGGTGGTGCAGGCCTATCATCCCAACTACTCAGAAAACTAGGGTGGGAGGAGCGTGCGTTCAAGGCTTGCCTGACCAGGACCAGCCTATACAACTTAGTGAGAACCTGTCTCAAAGGAAACAGGCTGGGGAATGTGGCTTAGTTGGTGGGTATTTGCCTAGCATGCAGGTTTCATCCCCAGCAGCAAATAAACCCTCTGTGGTGATGTCTGCCTGTAACCCCAACAGGCAGGACCCAGGATGTAGAGGCATGAAGATAAGAACTTTAAAGCTAGCCTTGGCTACACAGCAAGTTGGAGGCCAGCCTGGTCTACATAGAACTTTAAGTGGGTCTACATAGAACTACATCTTTAAGGGGGGGCACTGAGAGGGTGGCTCATTGAGTAAAACACTTGTGGCCCATGCATGAGGGCAAGAGGTCAGATCTCCAGCACCCACATAAATGCCAGGTGGGCTTGGTGGCCTACAATCCCAGCATGTGGGAGGTGAGCACAAGAGATCCCAGGAGCAGGCTGACTACCTACCTAGCCTGGCTGAATTAGTGAGCTCTGAGTTCACGGAGGAACCCTGCCTCAATACATAAGGTGAAGAGGGGTCAAGGAAGGCACCCAACACCATCCACGGGCCTTCTATACACACACATGCATAATATGCATCTGCGCATACATGTGAATATGCATACGTGTGCACGTACACATACACACACATATACACACACACAATTTAATTAAAAAAAAAAAAACCAGAGGGTTGTACATCAGTGGTAGAGGGAACTGCCCAGCGTGTAAAGTGTATTGCTAATGATTAACCCCAGTGAAGGGTATATAACACCAGAAGTTGTGTGTGTCAAAGGTCTTTCTCTGATGAGTGGGTTCATCCCTTCCTTCCTTACCTGTTGACAAATTCTTGCAGGGATGGAAAAAGATCAAGTACAATTTGTATACGGTCCGCTCTCCATTTCTTAAACATTTGAGGAGGAATACGTTGTCGGTAGTTTGTCGCCCCCACCATGGGAACCATGCTGACGGATGGCTTCATTTTCATCCACCCCCTCCCCCTTTTTAAGGGCACCAATATAGATAGATGTTGTCACGATCTAAGGCCTCAGCGGAGGTAGGTGGGGCGGGAGGGGGGGGAGGTGCTGTCAAAAGATTGGAGTGGCTAGTTTCATGAGGAAAGGGGGCAAGGAAAACAATGGAACAGAGCTCAGGGGGCTTGGAAGACAGTGACAGAGGCTCGAAGGCTCTAGAACGCGTCAGTGTGTGCCCTGCGCAGGGTTGAGTCACAATGTCCAGGTCACCGCCCTACCCCACACGGATTGGAGTCACCCAGCCTAGAGGCCTCAGGGTTTGAAAGGACCCCATGCCAGTGAGGTACACCTAGCTTCTGGAGAATGGGAATTCTCCCTGCCCCCAACCCCGTGACCCGGCCCCCGGGGCCCTGGGCCCACCGGATGAGCAATTGGAGACGCCCCCAGTTCGTGATGGGTGCTGGGCGCCCCAGATCGTGGTGGGTGCAGGATGCCCCCAGACTCTGGCGGTGAAAGCACCCGCCTGACCCTGTCCTGGGCGCTTGCGCAAGGGCCTGGCTCCACCTCGGACACCAGCAGCCCCCCACCCCCACCCGGGTGGCCCTGCGGCCCATCCTGCCGCTCCCCAAATCCCTCATGTCCCCGTGAGTCCCCCAGTTCCCACCGAGACCCAGCTCCGGGCAGGGCCAGGTCCCTGGGCAGACCCCACCCCAGCCCGCGTACCTGTAGATGCGCGGTGCCTGAGGCCAGAGGCAGCTGCGTGGGGACGCAGGGACGCGGGGACGCGGGGACGGCGAGCGGGTCTCCGCACTGCAGCGGCGCCGCCCTCCGCCCGCCCCCGCTGC